TGGGTAGGGGTTCTTGGGCGTCTCTCAACAACCAACCCATTTCCACCAGAGTGCTACCAACGAGCCGGGGAGGAGGCATAACTAAGCATTGATTAAAAGCGTGGTTATCATGCAGCTATAGTGCGTACCGCGCAAGGTGCTGCAAGGTATAGTCAGAGCCCCTGATCTCTTCAGAGTTCTCCAGTTATCACGCGACCATTTCAAGTAAACGCAAAAACGAAGAAAGGAGAAAAGTTCAGGGCCAGTCAGAAATAGGTAGTCAAGAGCATTGCCATCTATTTCCATCAAATCTGGGCACTTTTTGCGCACTACGGGAAAACATGGCATCTGATTACGATGCTTGCTAGACGCCCTTGACGAGCCAATATTGCAGTTTCATGTGTTTGGCATTGCTGCTTAAGCTGCTACGGACGTGTTGCATGTGGGAGCAACGAGCTGTTTCATCCCTGATAACACCGGGCTGATTCCGATGCAAGGTGCCCCGGATCTGTTTACCAAAAAAGAAATAGTTAAAGTGATTTCTAAGGGTAGTCCCTTCGCGCTGGAGAGTGTAAAGGTCACGTCATTGACAATTTTATACCCGCAGTCAGAGACAGGTTCGCCGACTCTGATATAGCTGAGCCTACTCTTACGCACACCTTCAGGCAGCTCAGCTGATCGCTGTTGGAAAGCGAGCAGCCGCTTGGTTACAGAATCTCATGCTCGACCTCCACGGTATCTAGCAAGTCCGTACCGAACTAAACTGCTCAAAGGACGACCGGACGCAGGCGAGCTTGCTCCATCTTTGATGATGATGTTTGTTGAACGAAGTCTAATGTCAGGAGTTGGTTTTCTAGCCTACTATCTCAATTGATTTCTATTTATCTTTTTATTCTGACTGCCATGGATGCACTCTGAGAAAGTCTGCGGCCTAACCCGTGAGCTGCCATCTAAGCTGGCTACGTTTGCTAACACTTATGCACATTAATGTGCATGTGGTATAATACTCATGGATCAGTGCTTCACTAACCTATTTATTAGTGTGAACGAACTCTAGATGGTAGTATTGTTCGGTAAGTTCCAGTGGTCTAAACATGGCTTTTGTGAGTGTTGTACAAGGTTCGGTACTGAGACGACGCTTCTTGCATATGCTATTTGCATTGGGCTTGTGAAGTGAACATCCATAAACCGCTATGGATTGTACTAATTTCCTTCTTTCTGACTAAGATAATATATCCAAAGATTCTCCAAATATATTGCAGCCCATGTTCATTGGCTCCTTGTTCAGAGTACATCAAGAGCTCCAACACAGCGGATTGGATGATGAGAAATCGGTAAGCGCCCAGGTAGCACACCACTCTGAATGATGCAGCTAGCGCCAGCATCTTGCTCCCGACCCCAACCAGCTAAGATTGGTTTCAGGACATACATAACTGCTACTTCTGGTTGACTTGGACGTGTTCTGCGACGTCGATCCCGACCGTTATCTCCATAAGACACCAGCTTTGCACATCGTAGGAAACAATTGCACGAGTTGATCGCGTCCCATGCTGACCAGTTCGGCAAGTAGCATCGAAGCTGTTCAATTTCCTTACATGGGTCCTGCTAACCAACTTGCCTGAAAGGGGAGATGGAGGGGGAAGATGTATTCTTAGCATCAGGCACGGCTCCATGCATCTGTCAGATATCTGGATAGAGCTGCAGGAGGAGTAAGAGCCCTGCCCGACTGGATTAGGCATTGGATACTTATATTATGCCCAATGCGATCGGCATCCATCTCTGCTCGGATCTTGAGACACAATGATACCCATTTGGGAAAGCTGGCACTGATGTCCTTATGCTGGATGTTTACTCAGATGAGCCACACTATTTACTGCTAGCACCTCATCCTCTCGTAACCGACGCTTAGCACCCTTAGTACATCCTTGGGCTTCTGATGGTCTTATGGTCGGACATCTTGTCCCGCGCAGCCCACTGTGAGGCAGGTCCCAAATACTGCTGGACCAATCGGGCGGTAAATTGCATCTTCTGGCTTCAGATGGAGCCAACATGCGGCCTCCGCCTAGGTACCGAGGCGACCAACAATGTCCGTGGTAAGTGGCTATGCTTCCAAGCAATGGGCCATCGTGATGCTCTGTTCTCGCATTTGCGTAGATGCCTAGTTGAATTGGCTTCAAGGCGTTCGTCATCTTCCTAGACATTGGTGTTCCTGGTGACGTCGAGGTAGATTTGGCCCATCCTCATCTGGGAAGTTGGGCAGGCGACTTGGTAGATTGCTGCGAGAATGTACTTCAAACTAGTAGCACCAAAGCAGGTTTTGGGCGCAGATTGCAGGTACCGTCGACCGCAGGATAAAGCACTCTTAAAATCATCCTTCGCGAGTCAAACAGCCTGCCTCTGCGGATCAACTGCTTCTGGCAGCTCGCACAGCGGCCTCTGCCCCCTTTGGTGAAATGACCGTTTCTGCTAGCAACCTGCTGGCGGGCGGGTATTTGTGGCTCCTGGTGGCAGAAGTCCCCTGAGGGAGGCTGTAATTACAGCCACGGGCAAAGGTAATTAGTTGGTCTGACTAACTGAAGCCAACTGAATTGTGCTGCCTGGGACGCCTGCCGGACAGCTAAAGAGCTAAAGAGGCCCCAAATCCACCTCGTCCTACAGGGACCTTTTCCATTTGCCTTCCAGATCACAACAACCTTGAAGCCCTTCCACCTCCTCAACCTCAATTCGGCGGTATCGCAGGCCAGCTCGAGCTCCCTCGCCTTCGCACGGGCTCTGACACCCTCTCTCGCAATAGCCTGGCCAGCGCTGCCGCTCTCCTCAAATGCCTGTCTGCCCTCGATGCCCGAGCGTCCCTCCACTTCCAAATCCGATTCTTCTCCGCCTTCTACGATGAGTGTCTACCTGCAACAGACGGCCGACGTCTTCAGCTCGGTGGGAAGCTACCTGCGTCTGCCAGCACTTGCATCAACCGTACGCCAACCCCCCCACCGATTGGAATGCAGGCGAGGGAGAAATCCATGGGATACTGACGTTTACCAATCACAGGGCATTGCTGCAGTCCTCACAGCACTCCTTTACTTCAAGCAGAAGTAAGTCCAGCAGCTCCTCTTGACACATCCGCCCCACGCCAGGCCATGGACGCACCCACCGGGGAGTCCTGTTGTCACACTAAATCAAGCAAGGGAGAAAAAGGAAACCTTCCACTAACGAGCGCTTTTTTCTTGTCTTGCTTCTAGGGCTCTCATCTACCCTTCGCATATGCCCCCCAATTCTCGAACCGATGTCCCCCAACCATCACAGTTCGGACTCAAAGACTATGAAGAGCTCGTGATCCCCACCGAGGATGGCGAGAAGCTCTCCGCCTTTTATATTCGCGGGCCATTCACCTCCCGCAACTCAGATGTCACCGTCTTGATGTTCCACGGCAATGCCGGTAACATCGGCCACCGCCTCCCGATTGCACGGGCACTCACGAACCTTGTCGGTTGCAATGTTTTCATGCTCGAATACCGAGGTTACGGCACCTCCACCGGCGAGCCTGACGAGGCCGGCCTCAACATCGACGCCCAGACTGCCTTGACCTATTTACGGAGGAGGGCAGAGACCAGAGATCACCGGTTCATTGTATATGGACAGAGCTTGGGCGGTGCCGTGAGCATCAAGCTCGTTTCCAAGAACCAGGACAAGGGCGATATCGTCGGTCTGGTCCTAGAGAACACCTTCCTCTCCATGCGGAAGCTTATTCCCTCCGTAATACCTCCCGCCAAGTACATGACACTCCTCTGCCACCAAGTCTGGCCTAGCGAGTCAACGCTACCCAATATCACAAAGGTTCCTGTTCTGTTCCTGAGCGGCCTTCAGGACGAGATCGTTCCGTAAGTTCTCAACACTTTCTTTTTCTCTCCCAAGAGTATACCCCACAAAAAAGGCCGTATGATGATCAAATTTGCATCACCCACAAAATCTGAACCCTCGTGGTCAGGATTAGAAACCTAGAATGTCTTCTGATTGCCTCTACTTAACCCAACTTGTTATACACTACTGTTCTCCATGGGGTACGCCTATTAACCTATCACGCTTGCAGGCCGAGTCACATGCGCCAGCTATACAGCGTCTGCGCCGCGCCAACCAAGAAGTGGCGGCCGTTCCCCGGTGGCGATCACAACTCGAGCGTGCTAGAGGAAGGTTACTTCGAGGCTATAGCCGACTTTATCGCAGAGGTCACGGATGAGACAGTAGCCCGGTCCAAGGAGAAGCAGTGAAATCCACACGAGGTACATAACTAGGAAAGGCGGGCATATCAGTGGATCGGATGGTGCAGAACACCACCCAGCATGGTAGATTTTGGATATAGTCTCTGACCCGCTTGAACCTATCTTACGTATGTTACGAATGATACCCCCCCAATACCACCTTCGGTGCAAGATGCGCAGGCGATAACGCCATCGTGAGGGACACTCGAGCCACACCAGTCGGGGTCGGGCTTCGGTGTGGCACATTAAGATGGGAACTGCTGTGAGACATACATGCATTAAAGCCATTTCCATGTAGATAAGTAGCGCCGATAGCAGGGTGGGTTGTAACGGATGTCAATGTACGCAAGAGGAGGGGACCTATTTCGCTCCATGTGACTGATGACTGGCATGGCGCCGACTCTACTGCGAACCGGTTGCCGCGTGACTCGGCTGCCACATAACGGGCCACTTCTCTCGATGGGACCCCGAACATGGAAACCCCAAACTGGAACCTTTCACTGTCGCTCACCGCTCCTCTTCTGAACCAGGGTAACCCTATCACATTCCAGTCTACGACCAGAGAGGTGGGAAGTACAGAGGGTGTAGATACGAGGATTGAGACATGGAGGAAGAGAGAAGGTCAAGAAGGACGACGAGAAAAACAAGGTCAGCAGGGCAGGCTCGGAAAGGAAGGACGCAACGGGGATCGCCATCGCTCGCTCTACTGGTTTTTTTGTATTGTGTCTGGTCCTCTCTAAGTTTTCATCTAACCAAGCTACAGGTAAGCTAACACTCGACGTCGCCGCCCAGAGCGTTCCACGGCCTCTCGGGGGCCTTGCTGTCTGCCTTCTTCTTCCGCAGGCCCAGCATGAGCCGCTTGCCCGTGCCCTTGGCGGCCGCCGCCGGGTCGTCCGCAGGCCGCGGCGACTCCTTACCCGTGGCGGCCCTGCCGGCGACGGCGCTCCATCCGGAGGCGTCCTGGTTCCTCCTCCCCGGGCCCTCGCGCCGCGTGATGTCGTTCCTGCCGTCCACGTGGCAGAGGAGGACGTTGCCGGCGAGCCTGCTGCGCTGGATGGTCTCGGCGAGGCTGGCCTTGACGGCGCGCAGGGTGCCCTCGACGGCGGTCGGGGAGAGGAAGGCCGAGTACTGGACGGTGGGGCGGATGAGGACCTCCTCGGAGGGGAGGAAGTCGATGCTGAAGTGGAAGCCCGGGTGGCTGGCCAGGTCGGCGGAGAGGGCCTCGCGGAGGTCCTCGATGGTGAGCCCGAAGCAGGGGGAAGTGAGGACGAGGGCGTTGAGGGGGTCGGCGGGCGGCGTGGGCGTCGCGATGGCCTTTGCCGCAGCGGCGGTCGCTGCGGCGTCGGCGGCCTCCTTGTCCCTTATCCTGACGCACTGGGCGATGGTCTTGGAGGGCGCCGAGACGAACCTGGGGCCCTTGAAGACGACGACGTGGCGGTGGGAGCCCGTGTCCTCGCTCTGGTGCTCGAGGCCAAAGTCCTCGGCGAGGAGGTGGAGGAACTGCCGTTGACGCTGGGGCGACGGCTTGTATCGTATGCGGACCTCGTCCACGCTCTGGGAGAAGACGCGGAACTCTCGCTCCTGTGCCTCTGCCCAGCTGCCGAGCTCCTTGTAGAGTACGAGTGTCTCATCCTGGTACGGGATGTGATTGGTAAGTGGCGTAGTGGGATCAATATTCAGCGCCGCTGCGAGACGCCTGTTTCGCTCTTGACGTAGACACTCATCATCGCACTTGATCTCGGCGCGCTCGGGGGTTGGGTTGGAGCTGCTCGTGAGACACTTCACCTGCTGGGTGTGTTGACCGCATGGGCAGCTGAGTGTTACTTTGCTTGCGCAAGGTGACGATTCATTACAAGCTGTTTGGTATAGGTCAGCTTCAGTGCCAAGATGTGTTTCTTTCGTAGTTTACTCACGAGTCTGCCCATGGCAGTTGTTCTGGCAAGGGTGATCGCAGAAGAGTTTCGGTTTGGCACATTGCTGATCACAGTACTGGCCTGGAGCCCCTTCCTTTTCACACTCGCCCTCCTTGTGGCAGCGTTTTCGGCATAAATGAACACTACATAAACCGGGTTAGATATACAACAGTAATAAGGAGAATAAAGGGGGTACTCACCCGCACTTGAGCTTCTTTCCACAGACATTGCCACAATGAACTTCCTGCAAGTGACAGGGAGTATTGGACACCTCCTCTGATCCACAAGCACACAGCTTGAAGGTCAGGTACGGACACTTAGGGCACTCGGTGTCGTTTGGATGGCATGAATGGGCCACGGGCGGGTGTCCGCATTGCGTCTCACGTCGGCAGGGAAATCTACACTCAGGAGGCCGTGTTCCACAAGGCTGCGGCGGCTGAAGAACAGTTCTGCCACAAGCGCAGCTGATATCTTCAAAGATGGCTTCAGGACAGCTTGCACAGGCACCCCTATGGCACAGTTGCTGGCAGTCGTGGCTACCACATTTGAGGGCGCGTCCGCAGATCCTGGTGCAGAGGTGCTCAGCTTCGACGTGAGCCGGCCCCGCGAATCTCTGCTTGCGCTTTGCTGCCTGCCTCTCGGTGGCCTTCTTCTCGCCTGGGCAGCAGTGCTCTCCACATCTGTGACGACCACAGCTGAGGATTGCCTGGCAGATTTTGAGGCACAGAGGGCTCTCTACCTCTCCCTGGTGGCAGAGAGAGGTGGTTGTGGTTCGTCCACACCTGCAAGTCACATCAATATCCTGGATGCAAGTTGGGCAATCTCCAAGATGGCATTTAGCATTGCAGAAATGACCACATTTCAACAACTTCTCACAGGGTTTGTCGCAATGTGGGACAGAATCCTCGCAAGAGGATCTTGGTTGATCAATGAGCTCCTCCAACGGTGTCTTTCCACACGGGCAATGGGAAACAACGTCAGTTGAGAAGGGACAATGGGGTAGAAGTTCGTCCAGCGGCCGGCACGGGTCGGTGCTCTTGTGTTTACCGCAATCGTAGCTCCTTTCAAATTGTTGGTCACAGCTGAACGTGCCCTCGAACCATGTCCCCTCCGCGGCGCTGTATGACTGCTGTGGCTCATCGAGCTTGTAACAAGCCAGTGGCTTCTCAACCGAGCCACAGTAGCACCTGGCATCAACAAGTACATTGCAATCCCCGCATAGGCCGGGGTGGCAGGGCTTCGAGCACATGTGCTCGCCGCACGGAAGCAAGTCGCCGCACTCCTCCTGGCAAGTCCAACCATTCTGATAGTCAGTCTCCCGACAAAGTTTCCGGGAAGCGTTCTTTCCACAGAAGCAAGACTGTTCAGGGCCCATGGCATCGCAAGGCGGACAAGGGCCGGCATGGCAGGCCAAAGGGCAAGGGTGAGGGCATGTGCCCCTGGGCTTGGTGCAGGTCTGTCCGCATGAGTGAGGGGCAAGCGCGCTGCTGGTGGGTGGAGGGTTCACTTCTTTGCCACACCAACAGTGGTACGAGCGAGGCTCCTCTGACGAAGCACATCGATAGGCGGGGCATCTCCAAGTGTACGGCTGGGTCTGAGGTGCCTCGAGGGCTCGGGCCTCGGCCTTCTTCTTCTCGTTTTGGAGCCAGGTCTTGGCGCACTTAAGGTGGAAGACTGTCCAGCAGCTGGAGCAGGTCCAGATCTTGGAGTCTCGGAGGATCTCATCAGTGCAAATTACACATTCGTAGTTGTAGTTTGCAATATCTTCGTGGATCCTGACGCCAATGTCAGGGTGTGTTGACTTTGGCACATCAGGCCTCTGTTGCTTTACTGGCTTGGGCCTGTTTCTCCTATCCATTATGTTAGTAATTAGTCTCCCCTCGTTATCACAAACGTGTTATATACAAACCTTTTCTTTTCTGTCGGTTGACCAGGGACAAATTCAGGAGCATCACCGCTCAAAGAAGGAGCCGGAGTGGCGTCCTCTCCATCCTCAGGATCTCGGGTCAAGTGACCCCCAAATGATCTGTTTCCATTGATTGGGCGAGGCGGCTGTGAAGCGCCTCCTCTTCCTCTTGAGTTCTGACCACCTCCTCGTCTTTGTCTCCGGCTACGCTGTGATGAGGGGGCTGACGAAGGAGCAGCCGGGTTAGATGATGAAGCATTTGCCGCTTCTCCACCATTCGGCTGTGGGCTTGTGTTTGCAGTAGCTTTTGGTGCCGATGATGCGGGATCTGTTGGCCTCTGGTTGTTCTGGTTCTGGTTCTGGTTCTGGCCCTGGTTCTGGCTCTGATTTTGGCTTTGGTTCTGATTCCTGCCTCGACCTCGGCCGCCACGACCCCTTCTGGGGCCTCTTCCACTCCCACGGTTTGAGCCCTGAGCCGGAGTAGGCGTTTGGCTGTCGTCACCAGGCATGGTCGTGCTCTCTATAGCGACGGAGTCTAGAAAAGATTGCTGAAAAATTATGGCGGTTATCAAGGAAATAACTATATGTGCGCTTTTTGAAATACAGCGTCTTCGAAATGAGCCAGATAAACGTTGAATTGAAAGGAAGTGTATGAACCGTGCAACGGCTGAAAACACACCGGCTGAGCTTGAGCTTTTCACTGCAGGTTTCACTCGCTCAGTGTGGCAATGCGGTTGGACCTCTCACAATGACTCATTATAGGCAGAGGCAGCCTGGCCAATCAGGGCCTAGCAAATGCGGCTCAGGTAAGATTCCAAATGACGAAGATTCTACCTGCGCCTGGATGGATTGCATAAGCATACGTTAAGTGGTATTTCACTAACGGGCCTACTGTGCCAATTCAGAACATCAATCCAGAGGCTGATATTCTGACTCATTGAGCCTTGTGCTTCATTTTGGGTCTTTGGTGTCAAGGTACAAAGGTACACGGACAATTTAGAAATGCTTTCAAGGGTCCGTTTTTAGCATACCCTATACCCCTATGTTCATCGTGTTTACTTTCCTACTTCGTTATCTACGTATTCGTGCGGCAGCATATCATTCACGCCTAGAAATTATTGCTTTTAGATCTTGCCTTTTTGGTCTAGGGTTATGTCATGCAATCGAAACCCTGTTCCTAATTGAGGCAGTCCCTAGGAGAACCGTTACTCCCATCTTACAACTCCGGATTCAGTTTGTGTCCGTGGAGCGTATGGTGTTGAATAACCGAGTTATCCCGGTTCCTAAAAACTGGACTTACTTGGGCCGACAACTTTGGTGAGACGTACTGGGAACAGAAATTCCAACATAGACAGTTTGTGCTTGCTGCCGAGCTTCTTCTACACCCACGGGAATTTAATGGGAGACTGGATAATGTTTTCAGGCGCCGTCTTTGTACGTCTCATGCCAGCCACGAGTGTCATGGATCCAAGGAACCCTGCACAAACCCTGTGGTAGGGAAAGGGTTCATAGATAAGCGAGAGCTTCTAAATGGCGGATAGCCTGGATGGGATCTTTGAACGCGGCCCAAGCCTAACGAACTGGATGGCGTGAATGACCTTCATAGCTGTGCCTTATAAGAGAACGTGGTTGAGGTATCCCAATGGCGATAATGTTAGTGTCATTGAGATTAATTTTACCTCGTCACCTCTAGCTTTTCGCAAAAGCCTTGAAATGACCATAGTTCTTTTTTGGACGAACGTCGTAGCTTGTGCGTAGGTACGCTAGATGCCTTGCATCAAGGAAGCAATTGATGTTTTTTGGAACCTTCTGGCTTAAAACCAAAGCCAATAGCTTAAAGGGGAATAAAAAAGGACGATGTGAATTTTCCTTTGCAAATTGAAGCACGAAAGCAACCATCTCCTTTCTCTCATTGAAGGATCAAGGAACTGTCTAGTGGAGATTCTCAGAAATGATGCTGACCTCCGATGCTGGGAGCACATCACGTGACTCGCCTTTTTTTCTCAGAGATACTCCGAATTTCGCTCTCGGAACCTGCGATGACCGAAGGAGCGCCAGCATCCCCAACAAAGACAACCTCCGGTCCCCCAATCGTCTTCGAGCATCGCCAATTCGATATCACGGTACACATTCAAGATGGCTGCATTCATCAAGGCTGCGAACGCTAAGATTCGGTCGAATCCGGTGCTCGACTACGTCTGCTCAACGCGTATGTGATCCCCCTCAACACCAGAATATAGTCTACGGTCAGGGCAGAATGGGAGGAAGCTTTGGGATTCCGAATCGCTATGTATTTTCGCCCCGTGGGAGAGATGTATAGGGTCTTCGCGGGAAATGGGAGTTGTTGAAGCTCACTGTTCCGTCTGGTCCGGAAACTTAGGATAGTGGAAGCTTCCGAGCGATATAGGATGTGCGATGTGCAAGATGATATAGTCGGGGGAGGGAGAAGGCAAACTGGCCATGCAAACTTTTTACACACCGTGCGAAAACTAACCTTATCTTTTTATAGATTTCTGGGGACCCGTCTCGAACTTCGGTATTCCTGTCGCCGCCGTCATGGACACACAGAAGAGCCCAGAGATGTAAGGAACCACCCGAGCCAGCCACCCAAACGGGATCGTACATGATAAAGATTTGGACCTGGCTAATTGCGTCAACCTTTCTGCAGGATCTCCGGGACCATGACCGGTGCCCTGTGCGTGTACTCGGCAACCTTTGCGCGCTATGCCCTCGCCGTCACACCCCGCAACTTCCTCCTGTTCGGATGCCATGCCGTCAACGAGGGCGCACAGCTGACGCAGCTCTATCGATGGTACAACTACAACTACCAGGGTGGGAAGGAGAAGCTGGCTCTGGAGCAGGGCGTAGAGTCCGCAAAGGCCGTCGCCGCAAAGGCAGAGGAGAAGGTGAAGGCGGTTGCCAGCAAATAGAGTGTGGAATGGGTGTTATGGGAAAACTGCCTTAGACATAAAGGAGGGAGGCAGGCAAGTCCATTGTATCGGGTCCAGAACCGGTTTCTTTTTTTCTGATCGCCTTCGCCTTCTTTTTGCTTCCTCTCTCTCTGTTTGATTCTCTGCCCGTGAACGCGCACGCCCCGCCTCGGCTATTACCCGTGGTTGCTCTCTGGTCTCGTGCTTGATGCCTTTTTTCTTCTGGACATGGAGGGGTGTGTATCGACCAAAACAGCTGTAACTGCCTTAGTGATTTTTAAGCAACCATGTATCTGGGATACTCCCCCTTAGCAGATCTGGAGAAAAGAGCCCAATAAGATCTAGGGGAAGTTGGGGGAACTCGAAAATAAAAAAATTATGGGTATACCCGGAACTCCAGAGCTTAACCTCTCCGCACGAAAGGGGAAGTGTTCCCCCCGCCCTCTCCCATCTGAGATGAAACGTGACGGCCCAGATGGAACTAAATCTTTGCCCCGAGGCTCCTGAGATGCCAGATTCGGGTCCGTTAGGGATGACGAAGAGTCCCCGGAGAACGGATGGAGTGAGGCGGGCAGGCAGATCCCGGAGGAGAACCGAGATACGGCTACGGAGAGAACCGCTCCCGGCTACCTTAGCCGGGGTAGATGGACGGCGGGCGGCTAAGCTAATCGTATGGCGAGGTTGATGATCGTAATCAGAGCCTTGTGTAAGTGCGGTTGATCGTGGTCATTCCGAGCTTCACCAGGGTCTTAAGCGAGGTACGAGGCTGGCATGAGGAACAAGGCGCCATTGCTGGTGGTTATCACCAAACAAAACGAAGCAATTGGCACATTACCGGCTTTGAATAAAGTGCTATGCAGGAGGAAAGAATGAGCAGAGAGGGTAGGGCTGGGGGAAAGCTGTGTGGAATGTGGGGTGGCGTTGATTGCGATTGGAGCGGGTTGAGGAAGCTATCCTCTGGACCTCAACACGGATGCCACTGAGACCGTGATACTAAGCGTGAGCCGCATTATCAATGGCAACCGCGGGTTGTCTGGCACATGACCTGGCACATGGAACCTCCGGCAGTATCTGACTACAGGATCCCATATGCGGGCGGGGTTTTGTACAACTGAAGCCAATCTAGATATGTAGATGGAAACACACACGCCCCCCTTCCCCTGGTCTGGGGGATGGGGCATTCCTGTAAATCATGCACAAATGGTCTGCTCATTGACCGTGGACACCGGCCGGGGGGCGGACTACTGCAGACAGTCGTGGTCACGCCCGGCGAGCCACGGCAGCGCGCGGTTGAGGAGAGTCACGACTGGGACTGGAAGTTGATGCGAAACACCATGGTTGCTGCAACTGATTCACACACGTGCGCTGGGATTGAGGGTGGCGGCAACCACCAAGTGCACATCTACCACCAGGACGGCTAGATTGCATGTGCGGCGTGGAGGGATACCGCCCGTGTCTAGGTGGGATTGGTCGGCCGAGTGAGAGATTGGCGTAAGCTGCGTGGGATGTCTCTGTGTCCGGGAAGGATCCTGTGTCGACGGACGAGAGAGATTGGTGGTTGAGCGTAGCTACTGCTCGCACGTAGTGTCTGTGGTACGTGGTATGATCGACAAGGTGTGCCATCCAGATACGGCCTAGGAAGCCATTGGCATCTCAGTTATGCTGCAGAGATAGTGGGGAAGGATCTGGTCGAGCATCCAAGTACGAGGTAGCAACAGGGTGAGCAGCTGGCGGGCGAGGGGAGAGGGCTCGGTGGACCGTGCAACGAGATGCATACATCTTGCATCGTGCAGGAGCCATAGAAAGCGTCAGGGATTGGCTGGAGGGGCTGGAGGGACTGCCGTGGACAAATCCGAAACGATGAGCAAATCCTCTCCCCACGTTGGCAGAGCTCGAGGGTGCCTCGGGGGGGAGTCGGCGTTGGCCGAGGCATGGGGTGGGGGAAGGGGGGTGGGATGGTTGTCGGTTACAGACGGTGAAGACAGCCGAGGACTGGTACGTGGTCATAGTTCGGCAATATGGAAGCACAAGATGGGAAGTGGTGAGAGTAATGATAGAGCTAAGGGGGTGTGGGGGAACATACTCCATCCGTGCGTAGCTGGAACTACACGCAATGGCTTGCCTCGCCGAGACGTTGGACCGAGTTAATTCAGATAACATTATTAATTTGGTGGCCCTTGATGAGCTTGTCTAGAGCCCACCCCAGGAAAAAAAATGACGGTCATGTGGAGGCAGGCAGTATGAAGACTTCCCAAAGAAACCGAACCCCGAGCTAAACGCCTACTGCCTCTAGATAACCTTACCGTACGAGGCTGTACGCGGCTGCATGGCTCACGAATGAGGTGTGCTGGCTAGCGGCGTCGGGAAGACTTGCTGCTAGGTATTGCAACCAAGCAAAAAAGATTTCCGTCCCCACCAGAGGTACTACTCTTGCGCAATAGATCCAAACTGGCACGCTCGTCTGATTGCGAGTTGAATTACGAAGAGGGGGGTTTCGTCGATGGGGGAATCTATTTGTCACTGAGACCCTGAGATCGTTGTGGTTGGGAGGAGAGAGTGAGAGGGGGAGACACCACAGAATATATTTACAAATTGAGTATCGAGATAGCCAATCAGTACCTAAGTCATTAGTATAAATAATTGATTCATAGGAGTTGTGCTCAGATGGGTTGGCAAGACGTAAGGGGTTTTACTATCAGGGGACGCTGATTGGCTGGAGTGAGAGAGGTCTCGCTACAACTCTTTGGGGGAGTTGGGAGGAGCTGCGAGGAGCTGGGCCGAGTGCGGGAGGAAAGGCGAGCTGTTTTCCCATCGCCGTAGGAGGGTGACGGTCTTGCGGATTGGCTCGGCACTAGAGTCGAGATGCTGGATTAGCCAGCAGCTTGGTCGTCGCTAGCTCAACGCCAGGAACTACCCCACGACGGCATGGAGTTACTTCGCGAGTTCACAGACCAGGTACATTGGCGAGGTACCGCGGCTGGGGATTGTAACCGCAGCTACCACCTTACGCAAGTGCCTCTGATGGAGCTACCCAGTCGATGCTGCACCGTCTTACCCTCTAACCGCTACGGGTAGTGCGTCTCAGACAAGTCGAGTCACGGCAGCAGCCATGGGGGAAGAACCGACGTTGCGTAGGCAAGACGTGAGACATAAGCAGAGGTCGAGAATCGAGACTCGAGACACAGCCATACTCAATCTCATGCACCCTGGCGGTCGGTATGCAACGCCGGCAGATTGCCGGTCAGGATAGGCTATCGAGCGCGTGCGTGAGGTCGGCAACAATCAGACGTGTCGCGAGCCTCCTGCCTAAAGCTCCCCAGAGACCAATGATGGAGGTGCAGACGCCGAGGGAAGGGTACAGCGGTGCTGCTCTGTAGGGCCATCTCAAGGATGATGGCACGGCAGCCAGGCCCCGCTTGCAGGGGACCGAAACCCAAACCACCGATTTGTCGATCATAGTATCATACCTACAGACGGACCTGTGAAAGCTGTTACGTACCTTGCCTGGCTTTGCCTAGGCTGCGCCCGTCGCCATTCGCAGCGAGAGCCCGGCATGCTGGAAGAGTGGTAAGGCTATAGTTTACCGCCGCTGATTTTGCCGCCGCCGCTCGTGGTCCTGGGGGAGTAGGCCGATGGCTTTGTGGTGACTCAGGTCCGGCCCGGACAGCGTGTTTCCCGTTTGGTCTGCTACCTCCATCTCGGACGAATTAAGCCTCCAAACAGGGAAGGGGCAGTGGAAAAAAAATATTCGACCAGCCTGGTGACCATGATGATGGTAATAGTCCGGGGGTGTGCAAGTCCGCTCTAGGGATCGGTACCGTACCGTTTGGATATTAGTCCACTTGCTGTTATTCACGCGGGTTTTAGCAGAGGGCCAGGATGCTGGACATGCCACCCAATGCAGCCTCCATTGAAGGCTTTCCCCGAGCAGCTACGAGGAAGGAGCAGTCGACGCCGGCGTTGCGGTACCTGCCCCCGAGGACGCTCGGCATGCTCGACCGTGCCATCAGGCTCGCTCTTTCCCTCGATAAACAAAACCTGATTCCTCAATGTCTTCGTAGCTCGGTCAGGCCTCGACCTCCTCAAATCTTCCAGTATCAATTGATATCCTCCTCCTTGCCCGCTTGACCACCACCCCCCAGTCCTAAAAAAAATACATTCATCAGCCATCCCATCCTCCCATCCCTGCGTGTGAGTGGTGGCGCATTGTCCCAGCATGCAGCTGATAGAGCAACCCCACCACCGTGCAACCAACCGACAGCTCGAAACTAGGACCCCGCCATCACCAAATCCGGCTCCGCTGCTCTCCTCCATCTAAATAGCTGGAGCTTGCCCTCGACCCAGCTTCGGTCTTTCTTCTCTTCTCTTCAGCCAGGCTCAATTGTCCTCGCCAACCCTCGTCTAGTCATTTGCCTGTCTTCCCTCTCCTTATACAATCCCCAGCCTAGAGACCAGAGCTAGCTGCTCCCTACCGCAACCATGGCCGGTGCACCCCAGCAGCCGCTGACCTTCAACGATGTGTTCGAGGAGGAGGAGCACATGGAGCCCAAGGAGGCCCATACCATTCACCACATTCGTGCTAATTCCAGTATTATGCACCTCGACAAGATTTTAGGTGAGCTTCCGATGGTGTTGGGTGGCTTGCCCGCGCGGGAGGGAACCCGACTGCCAGTGCTATCACAAGCTGCCCGGCACAGCTACTAGTAGTGACTTTGGCTAACATTCGAACCTCCACACCTTTAGTCGCCAACCGTGGTGAAATCCGTAAGTCCATTCCGTCCCCCCGGCGCAATTCAATTGGGATCGCTGAGTGCTAACATTTTGGGAACAGCTATCCGAGTACGCTCTGCCTTCTGACCGCGTCGTCCGCTTCTTCCTTGCTCCTGTTCTTGCTGCTAACATAGGCATTGCGCAATAGATCTTCAGAACCGTGAGAACCCCTCCTCCATGCATTGGCTTGACTGCGGGTGACGGGGATTGCTGACTCGCTCTGATAGGCCCACGAACTCTCACTACACACCATCGCTGTCTACAGGTACTTGGCTGCCCGCCCGCAAGGGAAACGAATAAATTTACATGTGAAGCGCTAGAGACTGATTATTGGCCTGTAGTTATGAGGACCGTCTCAGCATGCATCGGCAAAGTAAGTCACGCTACCCACTCGTCCGCCGGCGATGTGCTATCGCTCCTCTAGGAGAGAGATGGATCGACCATTATTCTAACGCGCGACAACACAGAGGCCGACGAAGCTTACGTCATTGGCAAGCGAGGCCAGTACACCCCCGTCGGAGCCTACCTTGCGGGCGATGAAATTATCAAGATTGCCCTTGAGCACGGCGCACAGATGATTCACCCAGGTGGGTCCCACTTTTAAGCTTATGCATGAGAGACTCGCCCTTTATTGACCCGAGCCACTCGCAGGTTATGGTTTCTTGTCTGAGAACGCCGAATTCGCTCGCAATGTCGAGAAGGCCGGCCTGATTGTGAGACATCCATTCCAGAGGCGCACGTGCTCATCCTCCCTTATCTAACAAGCTTCATTTTAGTTCGTCGGCCCGTCTCCACAGGTCATCGACTCCCTCGGTGACAAGGTCTCTGCCCGTAAGCTTGCCATTGCTGCCGGAGTGCCCGTTGTGCCGGGAACAGAGGGCGCTGTTGCCACATACGAGGAGGTCAAGACCTTCACCGATACCTATGGCTTCCCCATCATCATCAAGGCCGCCTACGGTGGTGGTGGCCGTGGCATGAGAGTTGTGCGAGACGCCGACTCCCTGCAGGAGCACTTCGAAAGAGCCACATCCGAGGCCAAGTCGGCCTTCGGTAACGGTACCGTCTTTGTTGAGCGATTCCTTGACAAGCCCAAGCACATTGAAGTCCAGCTTCTTGGTGACAATGAAGGCAACGTCGTGCACCTGTACGAGCGTGACTGCTCCGTCCAGCGTCGCCACCAGAAGGTCGTCGAGATTGCTCCTGCCAAGGATCTCCCCGCTGCCACCCGTGATGCTATCTTGGCTGATGCTGTTAAGCTGGCTAAGTCAGTTAACTATCGCAACGCCGGTACCGCAGAGTTCCTGGTCGACCAGCAGAACCGCTACTACTTCATTGAGATCAACCCTCGTATCCAGGTTGAGCATACCATCACTGAGGAAATCACTGGCATCGACATCGTCGCTGCTCAGATCCAGATCGCTGCCGGTGCCAGCTTGGCTCAGCTCGGCCTGACCCAGGACCGCATCTCCACCCGAGGCTTTGCTATTCAGTGCCGTATCACCACCGAGGACCCTGCCAAGAACTTCTCACCCGATACCGGTAAGATCGAGGTCTACCGATCTGCCGGTGGTAATGGTGTTCGTCTTGACGGTGGTAACGGATTTGCCGGTGCCGTCATCACCCCTTACTACGACTCCATGTTGGTAAAGTGTACTTGCAATGGCTCCACATACGAAATCGCCCGCAGAAAGGTTCTCCGTGCTCTCATCGAGTTCCGTGTCCGCGGCGTCAAGACCAACATTCCTTTCCTTGCCCGACTTTTGACTCACCCTACATTTATTGACGGAAACTGCTGGACAACCTTTATTGATGATACCCCTCAATTGTTTGATTTGCTTGGCAGCCAGAACCGTGCTCAGAAGCTGCTGTCCTACCTCGGTGACGTTGCCGTCAACGGCAGCAGCATCAAGGGCCAAATTGGTGAGCCCAAATTCAAGGGCGAGATCATCGTTCCTGAAATTGTCACTTCGGCGGGCGAGAAGGTCGATGTCTCTCAGCCATGCACTGTTGGATGGCGCAACATCCTTGTGGAGCAGGGCCCCAAGGCCTTTGCCAAGGCTGTTCGCGAGTACAAGGGATGTCTTTTGATGGACACCACCTGGAGAGATGCTCACCAGTCTCTTCTTGCCACCCGTGTCCGAACAGTCGATCTGCTCAATATTGCCAAGGAGACCAGCCACGCCTTGTCCAACCTTTACAGTCTCGAGTGCTGGGGTGGTGCCACCTTTGACGTAGCAATGCGTTTCCTCTACGAGGATCCCTGGGAACGTCTTCGCCGCATGCGCAAGCTCATCCCCAACATCCCCTTCCAGATGCTTCTCCGTGGTGCCAACGGTGTCGCTTACTCTTCACTTCCTGACAATGCTATTGATCACTTTGTCGACCAAGCTAAGAAGAACGGTGTTGATATCTTCCGTGTCTTCGACGCCCTCAACGACATTGATCAGCTCGAAGTCGGTATTAAAGCAGTTCACAAGGCCGGCGGTGTTGTTGAAGGAACCGTGTGCTATAGTGGCGACATGCTAGTAAGTTGATTATCCCGTTAATTCCTCATCTGGCTTGGGAAAATCAATATTGTGCTTCTATTGTTTTGGAAAAAAAAACAATATTGTGCCTGTATTGTTTTGGAAAAATCAACATTGGGCTTGTATTGTTTTGGAACTAAACTAACCAAACTTTATTATAGAACCCCTCCAAGAAGTACAATCTTGAGTACTACTTGGCTCTCGTTGACAAGCTTGTTGCTCTTGATATCCATGTCCTTGGTATCAAGGATATGGCTGGTGTGCTCAAGCCCCACGCTGCCACCCTCCTGATTGGCAGCATCCGCAAGAAGTACCCCGACTTGCCTATTCACGTTCACACTCACGACTCTGCCGGAACTGGTGTTGCATCTATGGTCGCCTGTGCCCAGGCCGGAGCTGATGCTGTTGATGCCGCTACTGACAGTCTCTCTGGTATGACTTCTCAGCCCAGCATCAATGCCATCCTTGCCTCCCTCGAGGGAAGCGAGCACAGCCCTGGCCTTGACCCCAGACAAGTCCGAGCTCTGGATACCTACTGGTCGCAGCTCCGTCTTCTATACTCTCCCTTTGAGGCTCACCTTGCCGGTCCTGACCCCGAGGTGTACGAGCACGAGATTCCTGGTGGTCAGTTGACCAACATGATGTTCCAGGCCTCTCAGCTTGGTCTTGGCTCTCAGTGGCTCGAGACCAAGAAGGCTTACGAGCATGCCAACGATCTCCTTGGAGACATTGTCAAGGTCACTCCTACTTCCAAGGTCGTTGGTGACCTTGCCCAATTCATGGTCTCTAACAAGCTCTCTGAGGAAGACGTCCGTGCTCGTGCCTCGGAACTCGACTTCCCTGGATCCGTTCTCGAGTTCTTCGAAGGTCTCATGGGTCAGCCATTTGGAGGCTTCCCCGAGCCTCTACGTAGCGACGCGCTCCGTGGTCGTCGCAAGCTCGACAAGCGACCTGGACTGTTCCTTGAGCCTGTTGACTTTGTCAAGGTCAAGCGTGAGCTGGGCAAGAAGCTCGGCGCTCCGGTTACCGAGTGCGACATTGCCTCGTACGTCATGTACCCCAAGGTCTTTGAGGACTACAAGAAGTTCGTTCAGCAGTACGGCGATTTGTCCGTTCTCCCAACCAGGTACTTCCTCTCCAGGCCCGAGATTGGCGAGGAGTTCCACGTTGAGCTTGAGAAGGGCAAGGTCCTCATCCTGAAGCTGCTTGCTGTTGGCCCTCTGAGCGAGAACACTGGCCAGCGTGAGGTCTTCTTCGAAATGAACGGAGAGGTTCGACAGGTCACTGTCATTGACAAGAAGGCTGCCGTTGAGAACGTCAGCAGACCCAAGGCCGACCCCACTGACTCTAGCCAAGTCGGTGCACCCATGTCTGGTGTCTTGGTCGAGCTCAGAGTCCACGAGGGTCACGATGTCAAGAAGGGCGACCCTCTTGCTGTCCTCTCCGCCATGAAGATGGTAAGTCCCAGCCCCTATCTACTACACTGACTGCAAGGAATAAAACCGCTAACAATACACTAGGAAATGGTCATCTCCGCCCCTCACAGCGGAAAGGTGGCAGGATTGCAAGTCAGGGAAGGAGACTCTGTGGATGGATCCGACCTGGTCTGCAGAATTACTAAGTCTTAAGCAAGGAAAAAAAGAATACGGGGTTACGGCGCGATTAAACGAGAATGGTTTGGCTCGAGAGTTCCTAGTTAGGCTCCTAAATGAATACTCAATGTTATTATGAATATACATCACGAACCGAGCATCAAATGAGTGACATAACGAATAGATACTTCACTTAAACGAGGGAAAAGAAGAAGAGAAACGATAGCTAGCTAAGGAAGAAGCTATACCTAAAACCAGTCAGTGTATCGATATAATCCTATAACATTTAGATTGTGTCTAATCTAAATGCCCGCAAGATCCGACTTAAGTCTAGCCCTTGAGCATTTCTAAATACATAAATCATCAATCCTGCATGTTAAAGCTGTGTCATGGAATATTGTCCCATTTGGCAGACCAACTACTCATTCCTCTCCTTAAGAGGAATGGTCCGTACTCAGAGCTGTGCCTCCAAGTCCTGAAAAGACAGCCCGACTGTGTTAGCCGTGAAAAGATTCTAAACTGTTTTTGTGTAGCGTTTCCTAAGTAGCTGTTACTCATCTGTAGGTGGCTACATAGAGAGACATCGAAGTCACGTTAAGGAAGTACCAAGAGAAAGCGGCCCAAGAATGTTCATATTTATGAAGCAATACCTTGATCATATGTGACACAAGATTCCCTTTCTCAAACTACAACAATAGCGCAGTATCTTCTGCCGGCTCTCTCATTTCCCCCAAACAGCCCCTCGCTTGAATCTGAATATTCTCAATCTCGGACTTCTGTAGCTCCTCCAACCGCTGGATCCAGAAGTTCCAACGCTCCCGGCTATACCCCAAGGTGGAAGAGGGGTCAATACCAGCCTTGAGAGCAAGCTCGCCAAGACTTGACAGCTGAGGAAAGTCGGTATAGTCAATCTTATCAGTCGTTGCCCTGTTGCTGACCAAAATGACAAGACTGGTTCTTGCAAGACGAATCGTTTCTCCCAGGGTATACAAGCGATCTTCAAATGTTGGGATCCTTTTAGCAGCTGAAGCTTCGATTTGCTCTGCGTCCTCGTCTGTTTCTGACAGTGGGTGGGAAACCTCCAATGTTTCTCGGAATAGGGAGAGAACACAAATAGCAGGGCCATCAAAAATGCCGACGGATAGAAGCCTGCCAACAAAGGTAGCCAGATTGAAGCAATACCCGGCACCGTAATCAGGTTGGTGAAAACGATGAGTAAATTCGTCAACCAAACTACCGGCAAACAGAGGTAGATCAGACCAGAATTCGCGGTTATCAGAGAAGGTGACGGATTCTTTCGCGTCGCCAGAGTCGGGAAGTCTTTGCGAAGGGCGCAGAAGGGGTCCCGTTACCTTGAGGCTAGCAAGAGCGACCACGAGCGTGTTGGGCTCTGCTGTAGAACCCCAGATATGCCTGCCTGCCTGGATACATGCATACCAAATGTCATGTAAGTGGACCTCAATATCGCTCAGGGGATAAGATCTAGCAGCGTATTCTCGGGTTACCAAATGGATGTGTTGGGAGATGATCGGTATGATACGACAGAAGTTGTCCTCATGGTCATCGGTGAATTGAGCTTCGTCGTCGATGCTGTTCCTGAATGTTTCGGACCACATGGTCCAATTTAATTTCTCATTTTCGGGGGAACATGACATGATTGATGTAAACTGAGGTGAGCCGAACAAAAAGACTTCAATAAGTATTTCAGATCAGAATTAGGTTGAGATGGTGCTAGGATAACACTGAAAGATCATGCGGCTCCTGGGGGACTTATAACTTCAACATGACCTCCTTGGACGAAAATAGATACTGCTCTGTTGGTATGATTGCTGCGCCACTGAACATAATGCACGTTGGTTCTTTTTGTATGAATAAAGGCAGGCATTTATGCGCATATGGTCTGATTAAGTGGGAATTTCTACTTGGTAGGCTGAAATTATATGCTGTTGGTTGCTCACACTTGGTCGATTGCATTAGTTCGAACAGAATCCTTCTCTGGGGCAGATGCTATTTAGAGGACTAGAAAATTTATTCATAAAGTGTGCTCAATAAACGCTTGCGAAGCCCTTTGAAATCAAAGCTCATGAATATTGAGTGTCAAGCTATGTTGTTTATCAGAATGCATAGAAAGAGATCCAAGTTGGCCACAGGTAGCCAAATTTCGATTTTCAGTTATGTAGGACAAGAAATGAGCGGGAGGAGAACTGAAAAGTACATGTAGTAAGCCTGGCCCGAAATGTGCCGCTCGATTCTGCATGTTGGTAGTTACTTCGCCTCCTGCATGCGCCGTCCCCTCTTTGGATGATACCTTGATATCCAACCGGCCGTAATGATCTCCAGTCGCCACTATGCTACACAATATATCCACTAAAAGCGATGTCTACTCCGCGCCGTTCGGTGCTTCGCACTGACTTCAAAGTCTGACAGAATCGACGAGTTGATTTCTAGGTGGATGGCCAGAGAGTTTTGTGTACTGAATATTGTGAGGACTTAATAACGCGCCGAAAGATGGGATAATGGTGGACACGAAGCAAGGTTCCAGGGGCTGACCAACACCCAACTGGCAACCAACATCCAACTACCAACAAACCAATTAAGGAACCCCCCCCCCCTGGAGTCATTGCTTCTATCCTAGGCCTCACGACATTTAATCTCCTCCTACACTTGGGAAAAGCGTAAAATTAGTAAGTATAAGTATTCAGCTTCCGCCCATCAGGACAGCTTCTTCTCCTCTTCTCCAGTTCAGTAGCAAAGATACAATCCAACATCATCCCTTCCAAAAAATCATTTCACTTTTCTTTCTACAATGAAGGCTCATCTTGTTCTACTTGCCGCGGGCCTCACATATGCCGCTGAAAGAACCCAACAACTTCCTGGCGCCGTGACCGCAACAACTGATCCGACTCCGAAGGTCGTCTGGGGTGTAAGTTACCTCTTCCTGACAAGGGCTATAGCACACGTTTATACACTTGGCTCTTCCAGAGTGTACTGACTTGCAAATCATGATAGGATTGCGTGAATGCTCGCTGTACATTCAAGCACTACCATAGGAGAGGTCCGGCTAGATCCAAAAAGTCTGCTGATGATGGTAAATTTACTTGGAAACTATTCGGGACAACAGAAAAATGCCCCCAAGAAAAGGTAAGCATCTTTAAAAAAAAAAAATTCTTGAAGTCGCTGGAATTTCCATGTTTGCTTGTGTGTCTAATGCGTGTGACAACAGTGCGCAAGCGAACTGTGTATAGCAACTCGAAAAGAACGTCCCACGAGGGGTTTCGCTGTGGACTGCAGCGTGCCACCAAAGAACAAGGTTCCCGCCCAGGGCAAGAAGAAGCGTAACTTCAAAGGGAAGCAGAAGCGTGGAATCAGACAGTGAACAAATCAAGGCGCCCTCCACTGGGTGATTATGTAGGTAGCATAGCAGGCAGCACTTAAATAGCAATTTACTCTCAAACATGATCATACTAGCAAGTGAAAAGGATCTTGGATAACAGTAAAGGTGTTGAGAGGCGTTTCGTGAATTACTTTTTGAAAGTGATAATGAAAGAGGCTGTAAGAATTTAGTTGTCTTATCCTAGCTACAGACTCAAAACCACCTCTACACCTGCCTAGTAGTTCCAGGACGGTAGGATTAGCAACAACCGCTCTGATCCTAGGCCATTTTACAAACCGGCGACCCCCCATATGGATTGCTAGTAAATTCATAAGAGTAATCTATTCGTTATTGGGCGAGAACCTTCACACGGCTGGCTTACGGCAACGGAGGTGTATTGGGAAAGGTGATGGGTGATAGTCTTGAGGCTGGACAGATGCCCCATTTGTTATGTATTGAGGTAGAGGTCTTACAGCTAACTGAAGTCTTCAAACATTGGTCGATACTTTTCAGTTGCGATGCTGCCAAGCCAATAATTATTCTTCATATCTTGCAAGCAAAAGTAATATTACCGCTCTGCAGCTACGGCTACGGCGATCGCTCGTCCTGACGAGGGACAGCCTGGTCAGCTTCGCAGCAACCGCTCGTCTTAGTAGTGGACAGACCTGCAAGACCTGTTAGCTTCCCGCCTATCGCTCTTCGATCACGGTCAAGTACGGATCATTTGATTGGCTGTCGCGGGCGGCTGAAAATCTAGCACGGCACTTTGGTAGCAAGCCTCTAGAGGTAAGCGATAGAGCTACATAGGTAGAGGGGGCTGGTTGGCTGGGCTTCGAAGTGCCATCAGTTGGGTGGCGTTGACAATGGACACACTATAGTATTCGCTGTTATTGCTCATCACAATAATTACTCAATAAGACAGGAGATCTCGTATTGAGTCTAGAAGCAGTAGCAATGCTGCATGTTGTTCCCGATTTCGCCACTAATGTTATGCTGGCGGAGAGATCCTCCCGCCAATGGATCACATCTTCCCCTCATCAGGATGGCAGGCTAGAAAATTCAACTGGTGCCTGGGGGATGTGAATATCTTTTGCCAAAAAGAAAACAGCTGCAAGGTTTTCCACGCTGCTTCAGGGATGGGCGGAAGATATCGGCATCGCCCAGCACACCACCAATGCAACCAAGATGGAGTTTGATCAGATGCATTATGGCCGTCTCATATTATACATCACATGAGCCCAGCCGGTGAGGCCATGGCAGGCTGGACGCCTCGACAACCGACGGGGCAGGCCGCAGGGTTCTGGAACCCTTTTCATGCACCCCGGGTTGGAGTGCATGGTGGGAGCGGTCGACCGGTAGCTGGCTGCCCAATGGCGAGGGCTGGGTTCTGCATCTTTGCAACTCGGTCCGGTCTGATTACGGCTTCGTGCAGTGTGGGGGGCGGAGGCATTTGGTTATTCTTGGCTGACCACCGGCACCCACGGCTGCAGCTACCGGTGTGGCCTCCTGTCAATAGCTACGGCTTCTGGAAGAGGGGGTAGACCAGGAGGGGCAGTCTGTGGGATTCCCTCTGGCTGGCACACGACCACACCAAGACGAACTTGATACGGTGAGATTCATAAGGTGGGAGGCGGTGAGACGTATGTCCAATGTGTTCAATACTGACAGAATTGTGTTACGTGCTGGTTTTCCCTGATTCTCCGTTGACGTAGTTATGATTGCGAAGAGGCTGAATGTTGTACGAGTGCGTCAGTGGCATCTGTCAGATGGCGGTAGGTACCCATCGCAAGTATGAAAGCGGCAAGATGAACCCCAGCCAAGCGAGTCTCCGAGTTTCCGAGATCGGGATTCAGCATCAATAGCGACCAGGGGTTACATAGTTTTGGAATCGTGCATTGAGAGTATGGACAACTCATTACGCGTAGACCACCGTAGTATTCCTGCACATCCAGCCTCATAGGCTGGCTGGCAGGTCATGCGAGGAAAGCCTTGCTAGGGATGTACCGTATAGATGCACTGATCGGAATCACCCAGGTCCGACGAAAACAATCAGGCTGCATCTTGGAATCAGGAAGCTGACCAGGCGTGGAAGACAACGGTAGAAGCTCCGATGCTACCTATGGGCGGAGGAAAATGTCCCTGCATCGCTGGACACTCGCGGATCTGGGACGGGTTCATTTGCCTTCTAAAGGGGTGAGGGATACAACCACAAAACACGAGCCGAGCAAGGAGTAAATGTGATAATTGAGACAGCTGTCATTTGAGCAGGGACAACACCATCACAATCCGGGAGCTGGTAGGGCCGCTTGCAGCTTAGCTACTGCCTAGAATGAATGGGTGCGGTCGCTGTTGTCGTGGAGGTTGGGCGCTACGTTTTGCATGGAGGGCACACTCCACAGCGAGCGCCACCACTGGGGCACCCCCCGAGAGGCCCCCAAGACCCCCCCACCACCCGACCCTGCGTTCCCCTCTGCTCTCCACCTTGGCACCACAACCTAAAAGACAGCTCGAAACCTACCAAAAACCCGTCAGCTCCCGACAGATTACACTCTGCCAAAACTTCTCGCCACGAAGATCTCAGGATCCCAGCCTTTGCTCACCGTCTTATGAATTTGCTAGGAAGATCAATTCTCACATACAATACCAACCTTATCCGAGTCATACTCTCTGTCTCATAGGAAATGGAGAGTCTCCAACTGTCCCAAGTCCTCGCTGATCTCAGCAACATCAACGCTGCTGTACGACCGCATCCCCAGCAGCCTCATTCCAACATAAACTTTTTTTTTCGCTGACTTTTCTCCCCATCTAGGAGGCTGAAACTGCCACTGCCATCGTCAACGCAAACACCGCCCTTCACCGCCCCGAGCCTCCTCGCACTTCCACAGCTTCCGCCCCTCCTGAAGACCTTCGACCTTCTGTTCTCAGACGTGCCCTGTCCGCCGAAGGCCCCGTTGATAGATTCGGACGCCGAATCATCCCAGGTTCCACCGGATCGCGCTCCGGCTCTGCAACGAACTCGGTCCCAGGTACCCCACGACGTGGAGATGTCGATGTACGATTCCCTACCTACCTCCCCACAGCCCGCTCCATCGCCATTCATACCAATATACTGACCATGAATTAGCAGCTTGATGATGACCTAGAAAGAGCTTCCACTCTGATGGCGCTCTACGACATCCGCGCCAAGTTGAAGCAACAGGATAACAGCAGCCTTCTCAAAGCCAGGGAGAAGATCAATGCGCTTGCTGCTAAGCAGCAGGCGCAGGCGCAGCAAAACAACGAGCGAAACCTGAAGACGAGCGATCAACTCCGACGAAATCGATACTCATTCCCTAAGCCTGGGCTTTAGATTTGTCGAGATCTAGAGAATTACCCGTCCGGTGTTTCTTTTGGGAACAGGAAGAACTCTCTATCGAGACCTAATCAAGTTCCGACCAACCTCTTCTTTTCATGTCGGGGTTTTGATATTCTTTCAGGGATAGGAGCGCACAAAACAAAAGCAGATGGGGATTTCTGATTCTCTTCTTTCCCCCTTCCCTGAACATCGCTGGGCACTTTTTCGAGCTCATGCCACGGGGTGTTTCTTTCCTTTGAACTTGGTAAATCGGGTGGGCTATTTTCAAGCGCCGGCGCAGTAGAGCAGTCTTCCCTCCTTTTTCTCTTTTCGCAGTTATGTCTATGCGCCTCGGTTTATTCCTTTTTCTTGGGACGTGTCTTGCCCTTACTTTCTCTTAGCGGGTCTGATTTTCTCTGGGTTCTGTTTTCTTCTACAATGTATGCGTGGCGTCCAAAGGGTTATTCCAACTACAAAAGCCTTGAAAATGGTTGACGGAAGTGACGGGTGTGGCTGCCAGATGTGGTTTCGCCTGCGGGGAGGAGAAGTAATAGGCGTGGGGGGGGGAGATAGTCATTGATGGGGAAACGATATCCGTGCTGGAACTCAAACGACAATGTGTTCGAGCGATGCATTTTTCTAGCACACCATAGCAAGGCTACGACTTGTATAATATGAATGACTACTACCTATATAAGCGTGCACCCTTCCTTTCGCGATAAATCAAATGTTTCCAAAACCAGGGGAAATGGTCAAGAGATCGTGACCTATCGCCTATTCAGGGCTCAGGGCCCCAGTCTGTGGGGAAGGAAGCGATCGCACCCTGCAAGACATTTCCGAAGTCTTGGATGATGGGAGTAAGCAATATCACTTTTATGGAGATTATACGATCTACGATGACAAGGCGCAGTGCAGATGATATCACTAACAGATGTGATATCTCACCCTCCTCCCATCCGATGCTGCCTTGTTCGTATAAGAAGAGTATGAGATATACGAAGCCAGACAAACCGGCAAGCCTAGAGAATCGCTCGCCTGGTGTGATGTGGGCTTCTGGTGGAGAAGTCACTTTTAAGATGTCGGCCTAGCGGCTCAGTTCAAGAAAATCTACGAGGCCAAAGGGGCCGCACCGACTCAACAGCTTACCGTCATAATGCTACCAGATGACAGGAAGGTATGGCGAGGACGAGGCGAAAACAAACCGGTGACAGTTTAAACCGGGAGGCGTCATCGGAGGAATGTCAACGACACAATACGCCACTGGAGAGGTCAGGCTCCAGCTATACCTTGTGCTTTTAGCCTATCAGCAGTGGTGTGGTGACTTTTGGTGGTGTGGAAGCACTGCCCCAGTTCGCGGTGATGTGATGCCCCGCATCGCGTATGGCTGGACCCTTGTGAGCGGGCAGGTTCCCGCGCATTAGCAGCTGGATCCCTGCCTCCAGTGTTCAATCGCATATGGGTGTTTGTTCAGATTGAAAGGCTGCAAATCCAACGATACGGGATAGGTATTAGATTTCTATCAACCAATGCGGACGCTATTTGGTTCTAGCACGAAGTATTCGACGATAATTAAAGTTTAAGCGGGTCTGCATGCCTGCCAAGTTCTCGCCCAACCTTGATGGCAGCATGGTTTCATGTCTGTGCCCTGTCTTGCCTGTGTAATCCTACCAGGACAGGAGAAGGGATGTCAATCAGTCAGGGAATCACTTGCGAAAGACACGTATACTGCTATTTCTCAGGCTGGCCCAAACCGGGAAAACGCCGCCCAAAGCGACATCGGGTCAGTTGGCAAATGCGAGGCCTTGACTTGATAGAGTTTGAGCACATGATTATCCACTAAAAACCCGGCTTCGAGGCTGCCATAGGCGAGCCAAGCCAATACGCTCCAACTAACAACAGAGTCCACGTCATCACTGCAAAGCCTCTTGCTCAGTGCGGTCCGGGTCTTAATAATCTTCGTCGCAAGTCTCTCTCTCCCCCAGGGCGGCCGATCAGCCATTTCATTTTCTGCTAGAGGGCAGACCAACGAAACACTGCCTTGCTTGGCAATCAAATCACGTTCGGCAGAGGTCAAGGGAGAAGAACAAAACTCCCCAAACCACCCACACATCTTGCATTTCTCGACACCTCCTTCTCCATTTCCAACAAGCAACTTTTAGCGAATATCCAGTTCCGGCTGTCGCACCCACTCAATAAGCCGCCGCCGAGCTAAAGTAGTATCGCTTCCATCGCTAGTCGTCGCCTTGCAGCCAGAGGAGCTCTTCTACTGCTGCACCATTGGGTCGCCGATCATCTTTTCCTTCTCTGTTCTGCAACCTCGCACAGCACACGCACATCATGGCACCTTCCGCGACGACGCCGTCCGACGGCACCGGCTTTGCCAGCATCCTCAAGCGCGATTACTGCTACGACTACCCTGGCAGTGTACGGTGCAGCAGCTGGTATTACTGGGGTCGATGGGTGCTGGCCGGTCTCGCTCTGCTCCTCTTCTTCCTCTTCGTCATGTCTCTCCTGTGAGTACACTCTCATCAGTTCTCCCTGTTTTCTCGGGCCGGATTGTATTTCTAACCCATCATCACTACAGAAGCCTCGCTCGCCGCCGCCGCGCGAGAGGCGCCCAGCCCTACTACGGCACTGGGTGGATGGCCCCGGTGGGCAAGTACGGGGGCCCCGACGGCCAGAACAACAGCTATCCGATGCACGACTACCAGAACCACCAGAACGGCTACTACAGCAACGGGCCGGTTCACAACCCGCCCCCGGCCTACGGGACGCAGGCGCCGCAGTACACGGGCACGACCTTCAACCCCAACGACGGGTACTACGGGAACCAGCAGTACAATGGCAACGTCCAGCAGCCGCAGAACACCTACCACCCGGATCACACGTACCCGGCGCCCCCGCCAGTTCCGCAAAATAAGTAAAGTGTTTAGCATTGTGCTGTTACGGCTATGGCTGTTGCTTCCAGCAAGGGAGCTGGGAGTGGTGGGAGGTGTAATTGGTTCTGCGCCGAAGGAAGGGCAGTTGTGAGAGGGGGAATTTCCATTGAGTTTCATCATGACATGAACGGCCTCGGACTTTGGGACGGAGTAGCCGCAAAAGAGGCGATTTGAACTACTATCTTACGAAATAATCAAACGTGGGATGGGGATCCCAAAGCTATAAATAAAATACCCATCTCGTCTCTTCCTTCTTTTCCTCTTTTAAGTAACAATGTGGGACTTGGGAGGAACGCAATGCGGGACAGGGACAACCGCTGTCACGGATCCGAATAAGATTGCAACAATCGATCTTTGCTGAGAATGCTCTAATCGTGTGAGGTCTGACGTACGGGTATTGGTAGAAATGCCATTTTATGGCTATGATTGCCCATAGCAAATGCCACGAACGGTCTCCCCCCGTGGGGCATTTCTTAATGGCGATCGGCAAGCTGTCAGTTCTCAGGGTCAGCAGAGTTCGACAACCAAATCCCGGCCAAGTGGCTACGATGATGCAAGCGGATGGGCTCCTCGCCCAATGGATGGCAGGCAAGGCAGGGTAAGCTCCGCGGTTCGGAGCCGTAGAACTTTTGCGTGTTAGCAGGCTCCTTCCTGCAGATCGTGCCCCTGAGTTGAGAACCGCCAGAGGGGTCCCAGGCACATTTGGGAATTGGGCATACGGCAGCAATGTTCTTTACAGATGAGTTGATGGGCTTTCTACCTTTTTGTGCAAACAGGTAGTTGGTGAATAGCGAGACGCCTGCACCTCATTGTAACCACTCTTACGTGCAGATTACCGACAAAATTCCCTTAACTGGCAAGATTCGTAGCCTGCCACGAGCAAGTACACCAACCTCTCAGCAGAGACTTCGTCAGCGAGAGCTTCTAGGTCCCCGGTAGCGTGGCTGGTTCTAATGCTTGATCCAATCAAGGAGAAGAGTGGCTACGTTAGATGGTCATACAAGGAGGTTGGGCTGGCATGTCAGAGCTAACTTGATCTCGAGTAGCTCCCAAAGCCCAAGCTACTGGAAGCCAAAGAGCTCAGCGATAAGAAGATGGGGTAATTCCATTTTCTCCAATTTACCGTCCTGCATAAATCAGGCACAATAAAAAGACAAAAGCCAGTTCCTGGCAAGAGCAGCGAGTGCGCTAATCCCAAAGAATCGATTTTGAAGAGCTGCCGTTCATCACCATTAAATGTACAGTGGAGCCGCGCCTAGAGGATCATCATTCAATGGAGACAAGCCCAATCACATCAATGGACGGACAATGGGGCCGTGGGCTTGTACCTTGCATATCCCTCGATTACGTGACTTTGCCTCTTTGCCATCCCCTAGACGGGCCAGACAAGGGTCCAGATGTAAAACGCACCGTCGCATCTGGCGACTTGCCCATTTTCTCGTTCACCACCAGCGTGTGCTCTCTTTGGCCTGCTTTTCCTATCGCTGCTCTCCTTGCTGCGCGCGCCTTCATTCCTTTGGCGAACTCTCTCTGCTGTCTGCCCCCGAAGACAGACAAGGCGGCGACGTCCAGTCACTCCTTACTGCTGATTCCACCCCGCCCGCAGACCTCCACATTTTGTCTCGTTGTTTTAGCACTGCTGCGGTACTTCTAGCTGACCAGCTAGTGCAAGCCATCCGACAGCGCCATCTTGTTTCAAGCTGTGCCGGATACACCCAACCATTGCCATTCTTTTGGAGACCAGCCCGCGATTTGACTTTTGTTTCGTCCAGTCTTTTGCGTTCTTGTTGCTGTTCAGGGCGCCTTTGCTGCGTTGTTTCCGCGCACCACGGGCCATCTTACTGTGCTGGGTTCCTTTTTTTGTCTGTGGCTGGCTCGAAGGATTCATTTGTTGGCTCCTCCCACGGAACTTTCACGAGAGAAGCAAGTTGAACGCGCACGGCCGCCCGAACTGAACACCTTCCATGCCCTCGGTCAGATCCAGCATTCTCTCGACACCAGAGCGGTTTCCGACCCAGTGCTGAGAGAGTCGGCCTGCACTACTCCGCCAGCGAGAGACATCAGACGAAGCCGGAGCCTCCTGATCTCGTTACGGCTTCGCGCCACCGTCTCACCCAACTTCCGTCCTCGAGCAGCAAGCGACGCATCCAGATCTTGTCTCACTTCGTTTCTCGATTTCGTTTCATATCTACCGACCAACGACCCGATCTTTTTGGAAACTTTACCCAGTTTATTGAATTTGCAACCTCCATTCATTTATTCCAACATGCCTTCGATCGACCTCGCAATGGCGCGAAGCCTTGAACCCAGCGCCTGGGAGAAAGTGTCACACAGCTTGGCTCGCTCGGTCGTCTCCCAGATGGAGAGCAGAAATATTATCGACTCTGTCAGTAACAAGGTCACGGATATTAAGACGGCCCTCTCGAGCTGGGACAACTGCATGAACGCCAACTTCTGCAAGTAAGAGCTTATGTGCCTGGTGTCTGCATCTCGTTCATGCATGCTGATTTATTATTTCTAGATATCCTGTCATTGCCATCATCGCTGTGGGTGGTTTGATCGTTCTCAGTATCCTCTACTGCTGTGCTCGTTGCTTGTGTCTTGGAAAGGCCTGCTGCTGCAGCTGCTGCAACTGCTTGAAGTGCTGTGGTAACTGCTGTGGATGCTGTGACCCCCCGGATGGCAAAAAGAAATACCTCGACGAACAGTTCGCTCCACAGGACCAAGGTTACCGGACACAGCCCCCCATGCAACCGTTCGCGCCGGTGGTGGGAACTACTGCACCACCACAGTATGCTGAATTCGACGTATCCAAGCACAACGAGGATTCACTTCCTCAAATGCCTAGCTGGGAGAACTCTCAGTCAAATAAGGTGCCAAACAAGGAGCAGGAATCGTTGGAGATGAGCAACTTGAACGCGACATCAATGGCCGGCGGGGCCTCCTCTGTGTCGGGCCGCTCCGGACAGGACACGGACAACTACGGGCCCAGCTACTCGAAGCCCCAAAACCCGTACGATTCCCGAGATGCATACGACATGGATCATTCCTATGACATGCCTCCTCCAGCCATCGGTGGTGTTGGAGGAAGAAACTCGCCCGGGCCAGCTGCTTATCGCAACCAGAACTCCAACTCTCCTTACCACGAGATGCCTACAGAATCGTACGGTCCTCAAAGCTCCTATGGCCCCCTTGACAACACATATGGCCAGCAAAACTCATACCGTGGAGTTCCTTCCCCGGCCCCTATGCGCCAAAACACATATAATAGCGTAAGGACTGCCAGTCCTGGTCCGAACTACGGTGGCTATGGCAGCCACGCCCAAACAAGCAGCCCCGCCCCGTACGGCGGAAGCCCTCAGATGAGGAACTCTCCTGGGCCCCAACAATCTCCGGTTATGCCCGCGGGAAACTTCGATAACCACCAGGCCTACAGCCCAACCAGGGACAACTTTGGACAGGATAACTATGGCCAAGATAACTACGGGCAAATCCACGCCCCAACCCCTCGAACATACACCCAGTCTCCCCGGCCAATCCCAGTCCAGGAGCCCTTCCACCAGCGCCAGCCCTCGTCACCCATTGTTAACAACAGCGGGTTCGACTTCAACTCTGGCTACACCCGCCCACCGAGCGTAGACCAGCAGGGCGCCGGCGGCTACCCCGGATACAAGCCGTACAGAGCTTAAACGGTTCCAAAAGTAGCGAAACATGAATCACGGTCGACATATTGTTATGCATTCGCGGTAGTTAATGTCAAATATCTCGAAAACGGAGGGTGGGGTGTTCAAAAACGGCGTTTTCCACGGTTTGCTTTTTTCCCAACATCATCTCATGGTGGACCAGGCACGACTTCTTCGATTCTTGACCTTTCTTCTCTCTCATCTCTCTCGCGTGCGTGCCGCGCCTCGGTTATGAGCTGGTTTTCTTTTTTCCCCAAATTCATTCAGGCCTACTGGTCATTTTTGGATCTTCTTCTCGTCTAAATAGTTCTTTTCCCACTTTACGTTTCCATATTTCAAGATCTCAGTGCCCATGTATTCATGACGAAAGCATGTGTTATTTTTTTATTCGGTCGTTCTTTATTCTGCCGTTGCATTCATCAAAGACCTGGTTCGTGCACGAATGGAGTTGGGTTGTGATTTTTGCATACCTATAAAGATAAACCGCTGATTTTATGATCTACTTCTATTCATGGTTGTGAAATTTCATACGTGCGTGAAATATGCCTTGCTATCAAGTATCTATGTTCTAAACATTGACAAGAGCTCTTGTGGCAAATACCTACCAGTTAGTCAAATTCAGAATGCACGTAGTGTCTACCAGACGCCCTAGAACACAGCAAAGGTGAAGGGTGGGCATCAGGAGTGAATCAGGATATGCATTCGCTCTAATGTTGATAGTAAATACAACTGAAGAAGAACACGCGGTATATTGTTGTGCTCCAGAACAGATAACCAACTGTGTACACGATAGACCAACGCTGTGTAAACCGAACCAACCGCAAAGTCAAAACAACAAAAGACGCCCGTAGCCAATGCTCTATTCAATCAAAACGGAAAGAATGCTAATCATCCGCCTTCCGCGGGGTAACAGATTGTTGATTGGCGGCCTTGCCCGATCCATAGGCCTGATGAGACCTGCTGCTGCCCACGATAGTTTGGCTCTCGCCATCTCTGTGTGGGTCATACTCATCCTGCGACTTCCGCTTGGCAATTGGTTTCTTGGGAGCTTCATCTTCGCTCTCAGTATCGAACCCAGTCATAAGCTCGGCTTCGAAATCTTCGTCCTCGGAGAATGGATTACGTGAGTGTCCGGAGTCTTCCGTGGGTAGACTGTCGTGGTCCACCTTCCTCTTGATGAAGGAATCGATGATGTAGTACTGCATAGCGTTCATGATGAGAGGGAAGATCATCATCACAAAAGCAATCTGCACCTTTTCGTTGCCCGCAGTCCATCCTAGGGCCCAGTCGCCAACCTTGGAGATCCAAGGGAGAACGAGGAAGATGACGAGGACGCAGAGCTTCATGCCCATAAGGCCAAAGAAGTAGAGGATAGACTGCTTGAGCCACCAAATCGCGTTCGGAGGATTACCGTAGTAGCCTGACAGGATAGACTCGGGAGGCTGTCCATACGACGTGTAGGAAGCCAGGCCGTGGATGATCTTGAGCAGAAGTAAGAGAATGGGAATTCCGATCGTCGTCTATTCGAGGTCAGTAATCATACACATTGCACAGCGAATACATGGTTTGTTCACTCACATCAATGGCCAAGTTGAGAAGGTAGAAGGAGCAGGGGTTAGGAACATAGTCCTCGGCTCTCGCCAGCAACGCGTGCACAATGACTTCCTTAGGCTTCATGTTGAACCGCCCGCTAGTCAACAAGGACATGAAGACATTGGCAATATGGACCAGCACAGAACCAAACACCTGTTTCGAGGCGTCAAAGAACCAGATCTTGATCGGGCGCTGTGGCCGCTCCCGCCATCGTTTATATACGAGCGACAGTAACGCCAAACCTCCGAGTGCGGCCTGAACCACGAGAGCAAACGGCCCCATGAGTCTACACTCGCCATTTGAGCCGCCATGGGGGGGCGGAGGAGCATCGTGTGTGGGTTTTGCCGTGGCAGCGAGCGTTGTGGTCGCCGTAGTGACGATGGCGTCGAGGATGGTTGTAGTAGGCATGTTGGCTCGCAAGGCTATCGCAGTTGCATCATGGGTCTATCGCGAATCGAACAGTGGCTTTGAAGAAGATAACCTTCAGAGCAAGGAGTGTAGATGGCCGAGAGAGAAAAAAACTGGCTGGTTTCTGGGTCGTTCTGTCGGTTGAGGAGATGTTTCCAATCACCAAACGCCGGGATTGCGAGGATCGTCGTAGGAGCGAAGGGGAGGCTTAGTTCCGTGGCTTATCCACAGAGGAAAGCGTAAGCCAAAATTAACGGGAAAGAGAAGCAGATATATTAGATAGGAATGGCCCGGGAAGAGAATAAGTGTATAGTATATGTGCAAGAAGCAAGAACAAGAGAGAGCTGCAAGAAGCCAGTCAGGACGGCTGTGGGGACGTCATGGAAGGGACGAGGTCGTTGCGATCAAAGTGGTGACGGACGGGACTTGGAGCCTGTTGCCGCCTGCCTGCCAGTAAGGAGCCAGGCGAGTCGCAGGTGTCGCTAGACAGCTCCCTTACTAACTCGTTGTGGGAAGGTCGAGTTCCAGCGTGTCAGCCGGTTGAGCACCTCGAAATAGACGCCACTAATGTACTCACAACGGGGCTGCCGGTGCTGGTCACAGGCGCTGGCTATACGCTCCAGAAGAGCGGCCGGCTTAACGTATCGCCGGCCACAGTCTCGCCTTACATCCCAGGCACCCCACCCATCGCAAAAAGTTCGTGAGAGAGCTTCTATGAGAGTGATACAACGGTCGAGGAAAGGGAAGCTCCAGACTCCCATCCACACACACAACCCGTCATGTTTCGCCCACGCTTAAGGGTACCGCGCGTAAGCGCATCCATCGGCCTGCAGGCAGCCGCCAATGCCCGCAGGAGCTTCCACCAGGTGCCCAGATTGAGGCACGACTACACCGAGAGTGGCGTGCCCAACCTCATGAGCCCGGCGGGCTTCTCAATTGCTTGGTCAGACTACATGAGCCTCGCTATCGAGAAGCTCAATGCTCTGACTGTAGGTATGCTTTCACCCAAAGCCCCTCCCCCGGCCCCAATTCCACCAGCCTCGTGCCTCAGTTGCTGACAGAACCCGACACAAAACAGGCACCGAGCTCGAGGACCTGGACACCAAGACCATCGCCCTCATGACCGCCCGTGAACCCAACCAAGCCCCCATCTTCAACTGGGCGTCAATGGCCCACAACAACCACTTCTTCTTTGACGGCCTGACCCCGGACCCCACCCCCATCCCCGAGGTCCTCAAGCGGGAGCTCGAGGCATCCTTCTCCTCCATGGAGACCCTCCGCCGCGAGTTCGTCATCACCGCCTCCTCCATGTTCGGCCCGGGCTTCATCTGGCTCGTCCGCGCCGGCCCCGCAGACTACCGCATCCTGCCCACCTACCTCGCCGGCTCCCCCTACCCGGGCGCCCACTGGCGCGCCCAGGCGACCGACATGAACACCACGGGCAACGAGGGCTCCGCCAGGTCCTACTTCTACGACCACCTCACGGGGCAGCGCAAGCGGGTCGGCGACCTGCCCCCGGGGGGGATCGAGCTGCAGCCGCTCCTGTGCCTCAACACCTGGGAGCACTCCTGGCTCCTGGACTGGGGCGTCGGCAAGGGGGGCGCCGGCGGCAAGGTGGCCTTTGCCGAGGCGTGGTGGGATCTGATCGACTGGGAGCTCGTCGCGAAGAAGTCGGGCGTCCTGAGACCGGACTTCAAGTCTGGCGCCGAGTAAGACGGCGAAGGGGGTCACTCGTTCGTTGGGCTATGAGGAGATGATACCATGGATGGTGAATGTTCTATTGTTCATCAGATAAAAACCCGGCCAGGCAAACTCTCATGTCAAGAGACCTGGTGGTTTTGTAAAAATAGTGTAATCTCGAGGATAGAGGTGTTGAAAATACATGTACAATTCCGTCCAAACTTATGGTTTACCCTATATCCAGGTATCATGATCTCGCCTGCTATAAGCAACGTTCTCTCGAATACTCTCGTTCACTTGCTACACAACAGTGTGTGGTTGGTCAGTGATGGCGGCCTAATTACTGTGGCACGAACCTCGTGCCTTTCACATGGTTCAGTCCAACGATCTCAGCCGTGGGAGCGGACGGCCCTCGAACACACAAACAGTCCTCCATGCCGACAATCTCTCTGACGAGAACTACTCACCGAAACGCTACACAGTGAAACACAGAACCCACAGTCGTCCAAAGCGAACGAGACACATGTTCGTAGTATGACTTCGGCAAGAACTAGGCCTTCTATCTTATAGTTGCTCGAAGACTAGTGAAAGATGAAAGCTTTGAGAATGATAATTTGATGGCTTAGTGACGGGGAATATGTTTTACAATGCAGCGTGTCCCTCTACCAGGTGTATTGGACAGCTATGGATTGATGTTATCGGACACACATTCATTCACAGACCTCTTAAGATGATAACAAGCAGGGATGGTAAAACAAATCACAAGCGTATTCAATTTACTATTCAAGCTGAGAGCTACCTATTCATGCAATTGGTATCATGAGCCCAGATCCAGCTGTCTGTAATTTTGACAAAACTCCAAAAATGAGAATTATTCCGAATGAGCAACCCATGATGCATGGCCATAAATCAAACCCAAGAAAGGAAGAACATAAGTATGAGGAAATGAGAATGCAGTAGCGTCATAAAGTTCAAACTGGTATATCATCAAAGCGCATAATTGTTGAGATAGCAGTGCATAAAACAGAAAAGTTGCCACGACCTTGGCGTAGTGCGATGCTCACAGAGAGTCTGCCCCTTCTTGACGAGGGGCATGTGAAAGGAGACGAAGTAAATGAGAAGAGAAAGATGGAAAAATGACAGATAAAGAAAAGAGACAAAGAGAGAAACATCTTCAAAGAGTGTTTAAATGATTCTAGATCATGTCAGCGCCATTGACCTTGACCTCGAAGCCCTCTTGCTTTTGCTTTCGGGTCTTGGCGAGCATCAGCTCCCTCATCCAGTCAATGCGGTCATCACGGCTGGTCACAGCAAAGTGGTGTGTCTTGCCAGTGCCATTGACACCTTCAGCAGCGGCACCTTTGGCGGACACAGCGCTCTCGCGCTTGCGGAGTTTGGCGCTGGTCTTCTCCTTCTCCATAGGAATAAGCTGGAACTGGAACGCACCCACGGGGTTGCTCTTGTTCCGATTGTGGGAGATGCTGACGGCCTTGAATGCAGCAGACAGCTTCGATGTGGAGGCCAGGCTAGAGCAAGCAATGGCGTAGTCATCGATGTCAACATATTCCAAGGTGCGATCGAGCTGCTCAGCATCCTTATGCATATTGAGACGGGTGCCTTTGACGGTGAAGTAACCATCGTGCCACTCATGTCGCAAGAACTTTGTCTTGCGCTTCTTCATTGGGCCTTGGTGTGAAATGCCATGAGAGGAACCCGAGTCCGATGACGGTCCATCAGTAGCATCAAAGGTAGATGACGGGGGAAGGACTTGCTCAAAGCTGCGTCGCTCCACGGGTGACCAAGGGTAATTGGCACGTGGCGGAGCGTGAAGTGGCTGTGGCTGTGACTGCGTCTGTGCCTGTCGGCGGGGAGCTACCTTTGGAGGTGAAGGAGCCTGAGGCGATGTAGTCTGAGACGTTGTCCGGACTGGCTTGTTCTCGTCGAGGGCAGGGAGGACGGGGAAAGATGGGCGGCGAGAGGTACGTGATTGGGCTCTTGGGGGGTTGGCATGGCCATGACGATAGCTCATGTCTGGTGGGACAGACTGGGAGGTGTCCCGTGCGACTGGGCCCAGTGGCACAGCAGTAACGGGAACGTCCATCTCCGAAAATGGAGTGCCAAAGCGATAGGGATTGTGTCGGGTTTCCAGATCGGGAGACCGAGGATCGGCCTTCTCCATCTGGTACGGCACAAACTCTTGCGGAGAGGTGCATTCCTCTTGGAACTGTTCGGCACGCTGCTCCGCATAGAGCTGCATCCGTGGGGAAACAGTTGCGGCTCTTGGTGGCTGAGGGCGAGGAGGCTGAGGAGCACTGGGGATCGAAAGCCTAGGCAATCTTCGGAGGCCCTGATGGGGAGCTTGTGGTGCAACCTCGTAGGGAGGAGTTGGAGGGACATCATTGGGGTTGCTCTGCTGGAACCGAAGGAATTGGCGGACATTATCTTGCGTGTCCATCCTGTCGATATTCCTGAGGGAAGCCTCACGAAGAGAAACCTCCTGGAGATACTGCAGAGGCGGCGTCCCGTCCGTACCAAGAACGTCGGATGATGCAACGACCGAGGGCACGGCGTCAGAGAAAGGACGCCAGTTCTCATTGGGATCGAGAGCCCTGGCGGTATCGGGATTACCAGCATCACCAACAATCATCACCTTGCCTCCTGCATTGGCGTTGATATCGATAGTAGGGTTCAGCTTCATGAACCTCTCAATGAGGCGCTGCTGCTTTCTCCACTTGGAGCAGTTCTCACCTTTGGAACAGACGTGCGGCTTTGGCACCACTTGTTCAATGCCGATGATGGACACAGAATCACCTGGCATGATGGTATCGGACGCGGAAGACTTCTTCCTCTGAGATGCAGAGGTGCTTGGGCGGCGCTTGGGCTTCGCGTCATCATGCTTCCCCGTCTCCTTGCGTGCCTCCCGGCTGGGTTCATCCTCGATCGGTGTGGGTGGTCGTGGAGATACTGGGGCTCGATCCCTCAGTGCTTGGATTTGGTGCCACACTGTTGTGCGGATGCCAAAGGACTGGATATCGAGCTCCTTCAAGTCCTCAAACTTGAGCGTGATAAGAATTGCACCAGTGATATCGTTCTCAATGAAACGGTCCGCGACGGGTTGCTCGATGCCAGCATTGAGCATGGACTGGGCGACCATCTCCGGCGTCCATTGTGGGAGGGTGCCCTTTTGAAGCTCGGCACTTGTGTATTTGAAGGGACTGTTACGTCGAGGCGGCGGGAGTGACCGATGGAACGGGACGGGTACGCCTCGAGGCACTTTTGGGGTGATGGGCGACAGGCTGAGAATGATATCGTCCTCTACCGTAGGGGGATATTCGACTGAGCTGCGGAATAGATGTGGGCCGTGAGGACCTTCAACGGGTTTGGCCAAGGTCGAAAAGTTGAAGCCGTCTCTGCTCGTCCTGGGCGTCGAAACCTCGTCGTACGATGACACGGTCGTGAAACTGGGCTGTCCTGATTGAAGACTTACACGAGGCGAATTGTTGTTCTCTTCGGTTTCGCTGTAGTCATCCTCCTCTTCCCAGTCTGTGTCAACGAACTCTGTGGCTACTGAGATTGGCCGCATGCCGTATGTTTTGTGGTTAAATGTGAAGAATGCATCTCGTGTGGGTTTTTGGGACATCTCTTGTGAAGAAGCCCCACGGTGTGACTGATAATATACTTGCTCCTGCATTGGCGTCGCTTCTGTTAGATGACGTTTCGTCCATTGATTGCTCTATGCAGTAGAGCTCTGCGGGCATGGTAATTCAATCAACATACCATTGTAGGAGGCTTTATGTGCGCAGGGCAGGGTGCCTGTCCCTAACCTGCTTGCCACGATGTGAGTTTTGTATGGTTTGGTGTCTGTATTGCCCTCCACCAAAGCAGATGATACGAGAGTATCAAAGGTGGTGAATGATGGCCGTTGCCGGCGGTGGTCTAGAGGGTATATATGTATGTAATTTTGGGGAGTGTCGAGATCACTCCTCCTCCTTCTTTTGCCGTGAGACTAGGAAATATAGGAGAGGCGCATGTATATCAAGGAAACAAACGTAACAAGGGAACCCGCGATAGCGAGCGAATGGTTACAAGATGGAAAATGGGAAAATAAAGAGCTCGGGAGTAGGTGAGTGGGAGGGCGGCTGGGCGGCTACCGATATGTTATGTAGAGTGCTTGCATCTGCAACACCCCCCAGGACGATGGAGCTGCTATACTCCCAGGTCGGATGTGATGTGACCAGCAGAAGCGACTGTGCGGTTGCGGGGGCTGCTTGGTTCTCGTGCATGAATGGGCCCAATGTCACAACCATTCTAGGGCATCACACAGGACTCAGTTGGTGACTGGTCTCCTGCGTCGCCTCGCCTCCCTGCCATTGTACCAAAAACAGAGCGCTGAGGCAGCGGGAGGAGGAATCAGTCCACCGACTAGTCTCCATTTTTAGCACCGCGGCATCAAGTCTGAATATCTCGGGCTGTGATAGGCTCGCGCAGCGGAGGTGCAGTGCAACGGTCGTGGCTCAGGGCCGTTCTGGGCTGTGATTCGCGAGATATTGTTGAGCTAGGCCGGCAACTAGACAAGAATAGATTGAACGACGTTGAGCGGCGCTCTCTAAGCGCCGTGATGTTGGATGCTGGCCACGGATTGGAGGAGGTGAGGTTGCGTGGACTTGGCCGCTGCCCAACGAGCGACGAGGCGGTGGATACCTGAGGTGTCGCGCCCCTCCACCCACTCTGAAAGCTCTGTCCGCGCAGGAGGCAGGCACCGGGGTGCGACACCCAGCAACCGACGACGTCCAGTGCGCTGTTGGGCCTCATTCGAGCGCTCCAGGGCTCGTCCAGGGGGTCCACCACCACTAACCCCCCGCACTTACGGCTCTTAACTGCTAACCTAGGCCCTAATAGTGCGCCTAAGGTTTGGCAGTAGCCCGCCTAGGCAGGGACCTACCCTCCCTCGCATCCCCCATGAAGCCCATCCATCTTGCGCTACCGTGCTAACAGGCAGGTCCCCTCTGCCTCCAGCTCGTCCGATCTGTATCACCGACTATCTGCGTCTTGACCTGAGTCGGTCGTGACCTGTCGTCGGTCGGGCCTGTCGTTGACCTGGACCCCTACCTGTCCTCCCCGGTCCTGCCACCACCCCAACTGACCTTGCACATCGACATGGTGAGGATGGGATCATGGATCATCGGGACGAGAGCCATTACGTCCGTTGCTATCAAGTCGCTGGTGTCCTTCAACCGACCCCCCACCCTTCGCCCGGCCCCCAGCCTGCCTGCCAGGGCCCAACGCCAGACGATTGAGAGAAAACCGCATCTGCAGGTGACTGATGCCGGGGGTGGCTGGAAGGACAGACAGACGCACTCGCACATATTACGCACACAGTGGTTGGAGGCGGGAAGAAATCGGAGCAAACTGAGGCCCTCTTTCTGTTCGCCCGTTTGTTTCCGCTCATCGACCTACAGCAGGCTAGACGCACTCATGCAAGCCGCCTGGGTCCCTTGCAACGCTCGCTCGGCGGAACTGTTGCACTTCCAACCACGAGTCTTCCTCGTGTGCAGGCTCGAACTCAATTGCTTTTTCGATCAAAAGAACCTCGCTCCCGCCAGCAACGTGCTCAACCGTCGAGACACCACGTTGAGCGCTCTCTTTGGTGCCCGACACCCCCGGCCACGTGAACCAAGCCCCAAGCTAGTTCACCGACCGTCCACCACAGTGACTCATGGCATTAGTTAGCATACACGTTACAGTGCCAGCTAATTAAGGATCTGATATGGACCCTGGTTGACCAAAGCTGTGAATCCAAGCCCTACTATGTATACAGTATCAACAAGTCGAGGCAAGGCCCGTGGCAAGAAAGTTCAACTTTATCCCCGACTACACTCCACTTGGTGTTCTTTTCCTCAACGCCGTTCGCAATCTGCGTCCGCGCCGCCCGGGACGAGACTAGAGCTCAGCTAGTGCCTTTCCATTACGAGAGGGATGCAAGAGGGATGCAGAGATAGCTCATCGTAAAGTTAGCTTGAGCGATCATGCAGCTGCTATCACACACAACCCATAGCATGTGACGACAGAGCAAGGGCACGGAGTATTTCTTTAATATTGGTGGGGTATATCGCTCAACGAGATATCGATAGAAGATTTCAGAGTATTGCACCCGATGATTTATTGCCCTACACCGACCAGCGATTCCGTTCGCCATCGTCGATGGGGGGTGTGTTGCCATATTTGGCTTCCTCGTCAAGAAGGGCCGCTTACGGGCTGCGACAGCTTGAGGGTGATCTTGGCTCCTACAGGAGCAGAGCCAGTGAGGGGGAGGAAGGGAAGGTCAAGTGCGAGTCGTCGAGGTGGGTGCGGGTGACAACCTCTCCAACCGAACATTGAGCTAAGGCTAAGTCTGATTGACAGCTAGCAGTACTGTATCTCCCATGCCAAGCGGGAGCAAATTTCCCTAGTCTGCCGTGAACTCTGTCCTGAGAGCCGGCTTTGCCTCTGCTGGGAATAGCATCTCGCCTCTAAAGACACGCATCTTAGCCGCGCTGTTGTCAATCATCCGTCATGGCAGTGGCGCAATTCCTTGTTGATACGTACGATAGAACCAACACAGTGATCTGATACGGAGCTGTCTCGTCTAGGCCAGGGACAGGGCCAAAACTAGACCAGATCCAGGCAAGATGTCCATGAGATTGTCGTTGGCACTAAAACAACGACCCTGAGAGGGTCGTAGCAAACATTTCCATTCTCCCAGATCGGATTCCGCAATCATCGACAATCACTCAGCCGACTCTTGCTCCGTGCGGTTTCCTTATTAGGCAATCAGACGGGGATCATGGATTTGAGTCTAAACCCCCTCCCTCCTCTACCGCCTACATTGGGTAGGTGGATATTGGAGTGTGCGCGGACAGGGCTGTCGTGATACTAGCCACAACGGACTGCCAGTAGGGATGGTATGACAGGGCAACGGGCGCCCGCATTCACCTCATCGCCGACCCGCCCCACGATATGATCGCAAAAGGCCGGCCGTAACACGAATGCGTGGGCTCCAGTGCGGGCGAGCGAAAATAGCAGAGGGGAGGAGGGGGGCAAAAAAGGACATCGTGACCGAGTGGCTTGCCCAATTCACTCATTCAACTACCCGGCCGGCATTCTCGAGTTCGGGTAGATAGCGGTCAGAGAAGCTCGCCACTGCAGACCACGAGGCACCTCTCGCAGCGCCGCATCCTTGCTCGCCGCTATTTGCTGGCCTTGTTTTGGGCCAGAGTATGTTGAACAAAGTGCGCTATCGCTAGGGCCACCAAGAGCCGCCACGTGCACCGCCGCCGCCTCACATATACGTCTGCGTAGGCCCTGGGCGGCTGAAGGATAGAGTGTGCGATTGGGGGCTGTATGACTACAGCGCCTACGTCAAACTCGATCCTGTTATTCTGCCTTGGGGTAGGATTACGATCTACAAAGGAAGAGAGGCATTGAGATCGCTACGGTAGTAGTACGGGAAGCGAGGCGAAGGCCGAGAAACCCATTACGATGGGAAAAAAAGGATTTTGTGATGCATACAGCCGTACATTGCAAGGGCTTACGTGCGGCGCACAATGCGATCAATGGAAAAAGCAAACAGGTTCGTGAAAGTGCAACCCGATGCACGTCGATCCATAGCACATGCCGGCTCAGAAGCATGTTCTGGGTTCCCAGCGCGCAGACTTTTCCGTTCCCTTGTCCGTCTTCATCATGCCTCTCGTTCAACATACAGGACTTCTGCCCGTGTGTTCCCGTTGAGTGTGAGGCGTAGAACTTGTATCGCTGCATCTCCACAGGCTACTAACTAGCACCTCTCCCCTTGTCTGACCCATTCTGAGCAGGAGGCTGGAGCAGGGGATGGGGGTGTGCCGCCAGAGAAGCAGAGGCGCACTGTACTGTAAATCCGTCCAGGCTCAGCCAAAGTACCATGCTCCAATTCCCTCGAGACTGGCAGCCGTAGTCGTATCGTGGCAGCTGTGGCCTCGCCGATGAGACAACAATTTGGCTTTGGCCTTGCAGAGCAGAAGCGAGCTGAGAAGACAGCGATGAAATGGAATTCTATTGGTGCACGGCATGGGGAAACGCGGGTTGAGTTGCTCTCGCTTAGGGGCAACTTCATATCATTTATGAGCTATCATTGAGCTCTATCTGCCGTCGTCGCATTGGCCAGCGAAAACATGCGCGTGATGGAGGAATCAGATTCATTTGCCTGAGAAGGCCCAATGGCGGCGCGATGTTTGACTTGGACCAGTCAATTGGCTCGAGGAGAGCAGCGATACTGCGGGGTAGCAGCCACCAATCGCAACAATCTCTAGAATATACGGATGGACGAACGGCCATGCGTGTGTACCTGTGTGTGTGCGTGCATGCCATCCTCCTCCAGACTCGGCATGCGATGCGTCCGAGTCTAATACAGAACCACCACCACCGCAGCAGCAGCTAGCTCACCTATGTTGCTTTGCAGGACTAATGCCATGTTCCCGCATCGCATCTCTCCAGTCGGCCGCGACGACGAACAACGCCGGCCGACTCTAGACTGCGCAAGCCCCTACTAGCAATGGACGAATTGAGGAAAAACCACATGAGCTAGGGCCTAGCTGTGCCCTCAACCCCCTCCCCTTCTCAATCCAT